TCAACCAATACACTGCTAAAAACTCAAACCCACTCATGCCACGCCTCTGATTAAAATCCTTTACCGGTTCCTACTAATCTTAGAATAAAATTTAAATTCATGACCCTGACCTACAAAGACCTCTCAATTCTATCTCCTGTCCATCTGATCAGGTTCCTACCGCCCTTCTCGCCACTCTTCCTGCCTCCCTCACGGGACGTTTCCCCCATGAGCTACATTTTTTTCACCTTGTGCCCTCTTTTGATCTGAACCTCAGGTTTTGGTGGTTTTTTTAAAAGTAATATTGGGATAATGAAACCTATACATCAAAGTAGGTATGAGAATTAAATAATACATGTCAAGTAGCTCACACATATTGGTGTTCAACATGCTACAAGGGGATTGAGGAATGGTTGAGGGTTGCTCTGCAGAAAGGCATTTAAACTGAATTTTAAAGGAGGCAGAGGATCATGGAGATAAGGGTACTCTGGACTTAGGAAACAGCCTAACATGGCCAGGGTGTGGCTCGAGCAAAGGAAGTGTGGGGAAAAGCAATCTAAAGGGAAAATGAAAATGGAAACAATTAGTCTGCTGGGATTTACATTTTGATCCTCTGTTTCCAAACCCATGATCTTCTCACAGGCCACTGAGCAAATGTCCAACTACTCTACCCTCGAAGGACCAACAATCCAAACACTGATCTGTGTATGCTGAGAGCACTGCTCTGACTCGGAATCAACTCGATGGCAGTAAGGGTTGTTGGGGTTTTTTTTTAGTTTGCTAAGGACTTGCCACTGCACCCCTGGCTTGTGTGCTTGTCACTGTACATGTTCTTCTCCAGAGTTTCTGCTAACAAAGGATCTACAGACATGACGGCCCTCTGGGGCCTTCAAGTTGAAAACAATCACACTTACCTATCTATAGATTTGTGTGAAAACAAGCAGCAAAATAAAAACATTGTATTAATTCACTCAACATACAATTACCCATGTAAATTAGGGCAGGAAAGAAACAAAATCATGGGAGATCTCATATGGAAATACAGAAGTGATTCAGTGGCTCAGTAGATCAGGCAGTCGGACGAACTGCGCGTGGGAGAAAGACGTTGGGCTGCCTCTGTAACGATCGCAGCTGTGGGAACTCTGGGGGCAGTCTACTCTGTTCTACAGTGTTGCCGAGTCGGAAGCAAGTCAATGGCAGTAGGTTTTTAGATTTATAAAACAAGTCTTGTAGACGTAGAATCACGCTTTTAATAAAACAAAAATTTGCTGTCAGCGAGTTGATGTCAATTCATAGCAACCCTACAGGACAGGGTAGAACTGGCCCTCTTGACAGAAGTAGAAAGCCCCGGCTTTCTCCCAAGGAGTGGCAGTGGTTTTGAACTGTGGACCCTATGGTTAGCTGCTCAACAGTAACCACTCTATCACCAGGGCTCCACTCAAAGGGAGAAAGATGGGGCTTTGTATTCCTGTCAAGAGTTACAGTCTGGGAAACTCAAAGGGGCGCCCCTTCTACCCTGTCCTGGAGGGTTACTATGAGTTGGCATTGAGTTTTGAAGGTTTTAATATATGGATATAAAATTCCACTTTGTTGCCTGAGCCTAAAATGACAATGGAGAAAGTTACTGCAATAAATTCAAGGTGAAAAAAGGACTTTGAGTTTTAAAATGATCGTGGGTCATAGAAAAGGGACATTAGAAATAACATCAAGGTTAGGCCTATCAGATATAAAGTGGGTGCCTATTCAACTGAAATGCCCCTAACAATAAATACTAGCATCCTAACAATGAATACACTACATTGTGCCTGTTCCTTTGTCTCCCCGAATGGCTCCTTACCTTCCAGGAGGTCTCGGGCCAGCCCTGGCTCTGCTCCTGTGGAACGGACAAAATCCGACAGGACAGCATCCATGTCCAGGGTCATGTGACCATTAAGTAGTTTCAGGCAGCTGGATGTAGGTAGGGCATAGATCAAAATTCAGGCCTCCACCTGAGGAAGAAATAAACACATCGGCTCAAATTACACTGCAACTGGATGATCACACTTCAGTATTTCAGCTGCTTCCTAACCAAATGGGGGAACTATCACACCCGCTCATTTCAATTGAATTTGAAAATAAACCAGCTCAAAATGTACCATATACACTCGAGTTTAAGCCAACCCAAATATCAGCTGAAGCACCTAATTTTACCACAAAAACTGCATTAAAAATATGCTGGAATTAAAAAAAATGTGCTGGAAAACTCAGCTTATACAAGAGTATGTATGGCGTTATGGAGTGTAACACTGGATTTCCTAAGTGCTCATTAGCATGAATTTCTTAAGTCCTACGGAATTGTAAAAACATAATACTGCTACCAACAATGCTTTCCCTCTGCCTTTTAGAATGTTTCATTTCTATAGTCGGATTATTTATCCAAACTAATGGAAAGGGAAAACGACCACCTTAAGGAATTCCTAGATCGACATTATTCTCTAACATAGTATCTTGTTTATTTTTTTCTTGGCACTTGATATATGCTGAAATTATTTTAATTAGTTGCTTCTCACCTCTTTCTCTAGTATAGAAGTTTCTTAAAAGTAGGGACCTTGTGTATCTTGTTTCCTAATGTATCCCCAACATGGATCACTTGGCACGGTGCTAGGTATGCAAGCCCTCAATAAATACTAGTTGAATGAATGAATGAATGAATATTCTACATTGGGTAACCTCAGAGGTGACTAGTGTTCTGATGCTAACTGAGGAAATGACGGGTGCATCTGACAGATGGTCATTCAGAACTCAAAATAAAAATAAGAAACTAGCCCACAAAGCAGAATGGGAATCCAAATTGGTTTACCAAAAGACCCAACTTTCATAAACCCAGGAAACATGGCTATTCCCTAAGACAATGACTGCCAAGTGTGCACACCTATAAGACAGCTCTTATTTCAGACTGGACTTTGGCAAAAATTACGTCCCTGAATTGACATTTTGTTACCAATCCACATTCCTCTGAGATTAGCAATCCCATCTGAGAATAAATCCCTACTCCAATTCTGCTACTTCAGATGGATTTACAGTTCTTTGTAGAAGACTTTTTCCTTAAAGTCACCAGGAACACACCTGTCCTACCACACCCACCATGCCCCGCCTTTCGGGGAAAGTCCAAGGTGGAATTCTTGAAAGCAACAGATGACAGGCCCTTCAAAAACAGCTCCTCCTAAACAGCCCAAAGTCTGCAGCTAACACCCACACAGGTTCTCTTTGCGCTTCCTTCTATTCTAGAATACAGTTTCCTAGTATGATCAGATCCTGGTTTTCTGCATTCCTTAGACATACTGGGCAAACAAACAGAAAAGATCTGTGGGTTATAAAGCCCAATAAGGTCACTAGCTTGACAACTACACACTGGGCATTTATTTGAGGGAGATGGCAAAATATAATGTGTTCTCTCATACTGCTCTACTAGTATGAGAGATCCATGAGTGCGGTGATATGCTTGGTTCACATCTGTAGCTCTACCATGTAGCAAAGCACCTACGATTGCCCAAATCTCCAACAAACCCGTGCTATGGAGTCGCTGCTGACTCAGCGACAGCACAGCAGGCAGGTAATAAGTGGTTGGTGGCTAAATGAACTTCCACATCAAGGGTCTGCTCCTGTCCTAGCTCAGAGTGTTGTTCTGCCATGCCGTCCTAACCAGAATGTAAACTACTACCACTACCACTTTACTATCATGCCATTTTACCCTGTCTCTGTGAATTACCCAAATTAATTGGGTGATTTTGGTCAAATTACTTGTTACATCAATATTCTGACATCATATTGTCAACATGGTTGGTCATGTATTTCAAAAAGTACTGGAAAAAATAATTTAGAGATCTAGCATTATCGATGACTTTTTCAAACTTTGTGTTGTGAACTGGGTGAATGTTGCAGAACAGACCACAGTTTTATGTTCAATAGTTCACACATTCTGATCCAACTCATCACAGCAACCCCTTCAATGAACCACCACTCTTCCACATCCTGTTTCCGATCCTCCTCCTTTCCTAACCAGCTGAACTTTGTCCTTAGGGGAAATGCTGCCCTTTTGATCTTAAATCGGTGCTATTCTAACAGTGAGGGCATCGACTTGAGGGTCTCTATCCAATCAGTAAGCCAGGTCTCTTTCATAGCTCGGTTCCACAATTTTATCCCAATCTATCCAGGTCCTTTTAATGTGATCCTTTTCTAATGATTTCTTGAGAAAAATTCCAAGCTCTAAACCACCCTACGTGGCAGCAGAGCACACGCGTATATTTGCTGTTTCCAGGTGCCCGCCATGGGCTCCACCCTAACTAACCCCACCCACCGTGAGGACGGCAGCGTCTGCTGCGTCACTGTGGACACCTGCCTCGAGCTTGAGCTTTGCACATTCCAAATGGAGATGCCTAAGCCAATGACTAAGACTTAAAATCCTTGGCTCTGTTCCAGCACACCCAGGGAGGGAGAAGGAGGGAGAGAAACAACACACTTGCTTTCAAACTTTTAATAAAAGAGGTAGCATTCAAGTATCAGTTGACTGAATGGTGTATGGACACATCTCAATTGAAGCAAAAATCCTCTAATTGCACGGAACTTTGGTAATTATTTCCATCCTTATTTCTACTTCTGTGCCCTCCTAAAGTGATGGCAGTAATCACGATAAAAACTAGCAAGTTAACGAAGGATTTACAAAAACCCTATTTTAATGCATTATCAACAAAACTTGTGCAGCAGATGCAACAAAACTCGTGCAACATTCCCAATTTACAAATGCTGCTGTTGGTTTCGTGGTTGGTGGTATGTTTCAGTCCACTGTTGCAACTACTGTGCCAATCCATCTCATTGAGATGGGTTTGTGGACCTTCCACTTTACCAAAGAACTTTTCCTTTTCTGGTGATCAGTCTTTCATTGAGGTGTGTAAAGTAAGCAAGTCACAGTATCACCATCTGGTGATCAGTCTTTCATTGAGGTGTGTAAAGTAAGCATGTCACAATATCACCATTCTCACTTCTAAGGAGAATTCTGGTTGTGTTTTTTCTAAAATGGATTTGTTGTTGTTCTGGGACTGCTACTGGTACAGAACAAAGGGATTGACCAGTTTTGCCATCCTCCTAGGCTACACTGCACACAGAAGAGCTAAGCATGGGGTGAATCCTTTGGACTCAAGTCCCTGTGCTGAGACTCTCCCAGACCCCAGAGACAGACAGTGCAAGCACTGGCATGCTAACAGCGAGAAATGACGGCAGAGTCCAGTGGGAGAGAAACAGCAGTACCAGGACCAGGAGACTGTGGTTCTGAGATGGTACAGTGGGCACAGAAGGCCAACAAACTAGAAAGCAGGAGGCTGACAGAGTGGTGCGCCTCCAGGCACATTTCAGTGGGAACTAAAGAAAGAGCTTTAACATTTGCCTGAGTTGGGCAGAGGCCAGGACAAAGGGCCACAAGAGAGGACTGCCTACAGGAATGGACCAAGAAACTATCCTGATGGAAAAAAATCAAACTGTATTCAAGTAGTTCTAATCCCGAATTGTAGCCTGCTGCTTTCCTAAGGAGTCCTGGTGGTATAGTGTCATGAACTGAGCTGCCATCCATAAGGTCAGCAGTTTGAAATCACCAGCCTCTCCAAGGGAGAAAGACAGCTTTCTGCCCCTGTAAGGTTAGTCTCAGAAATCCACAGGGGTCACTATGAGTTGGCATCGGCCCAATGGCAGTGAGACGTCTATAATAACCCCCAAATAACTGAATATGGTCTGAGAGTTCTGTGTGGCCATTGCAATAAGTTACTGAATCTGGCACAGAACCTGAGAGTGCCATGGGACGGACAGCTGGTGGCAGGATTGGTAAAAAGGTTGGAAAGTGGAGATGTCTGACTTCGCCCTCATAGGATCCAGCTGGATCCTTTCTACCCTCATGAAATTCGACAAGAGGTCTGATGCCATCTTTGCACCCTCAGTGCAGTGGAGGGCATATGGACAAAGCAACAGTGGATTTAAGGAGAATAGGTTTTAGGAAAACAATTTCAAAAGAGATGATGTTATACTAGGATAGCAACGGAGACTAAGAGAAATAGATGGATTCCATTTTGTTCCTTTCTCACCAAAAATGTACCCAACAGTTACTCGCTCAAATTACTTTCCAGTAAGAAGCACCATCCCTTATTCTTCTACATCACCTGCCGAACCTGGAAGGATCCCACACTCAACTTCTCTGATATTGAAGTGGAGTTACTGAGCAAGATAAGATCACTTATCTTTTACTTCACTTTCAGAGAATCACTTAATTCACTTTCAGAGAATTACCACTCACTCATTGCCATCGAGTCAATTATGACCCATAGTGACCCTACAGAACAGAGTAGAATTGCCCCTTTGGGTTTCCGAGGCATAAATCTTTGTGGTAGCAGAAAATGTCATCTTATTCCTAAGGAGCGGCTACTGGGTTCGAACTGCTGACCCAGTGCTTAGTAACCCAACACGTAACCCACCCTGCCACCAGTTAGGAGCAATACCACTAAAAATAGGTTATGCATCTTCAGCCTCATTCCATTCACTGAAATACTGAATCACCCTCAACCAATCTTCTCAACTACTAATATATATATACCTACCTTCACCATTGTCCTTGGGGTCCAACTCAATCTACATCACCTTCTTTACTTTTGCTAACTACCTTGCTTTGTAGTTTACAAAATAAGAAAAAAGATTACTTAACAAAAGAAGAGTAACACCTCCTAGTTTTCTCCTCCTGTCCCTGTTAGTTGCTATACTCTTCTTCCCTACAAAACTCCTTAAAACAGTCTATATTCGCTAAGGCCCCTTTTTCACTTTGTCAGGCCTTCAGCCTAATAAAGCGGGTCTCTATAAGAAGGAATGGAGCTAATTTACAGAAGTGATTACGCAAACCTTCTCACTGCTTAGTTAACTGCTCTTTGCAGCCTTGGATACTCACAGATCACGCTCGCTGCCTCACTGGCTTCTC